TGCACACGATACCGATGTGCACTCGCTCGTAGACGAGGGGCAACTTCCGACATGCTTTGTCGGAAGGAGCTGAGGGAAACTCGATCAGCTGCTTCGCGTCTACGTCATGCGCATACGCGGCCTTCACCTCGTCCAACAATGACGACGACGGTATATATGTCTGAGCGACGTCAATCCGGTTGACGTCGACTGTCTTGACAGCATAACCCGGTCGTCACGACAACGCGTCCGCGACGACATTCAACCTTCCGGGTTTGTACTCGACCGGAAGTTGTACTCCGCGAAGAAGGACAACCATCTCGCCATTCGTTGCGAGATGTGCGGAGACTTCACAGCCGTCCGTAACGACGCGTGGTCTGTATAGACCACGAACGGCGTGTTGCCGAGTAAATATACTCGGAACTTCCGAACTTCATGGCAAGGAGTTCCTTGTCATGTACCGGATAGTTTCGCTCAACTGGCTTTAGCTGACGCGACTGGTAGTAGACGATTCGATGTCGGCCCTCGTGATTGAGTTGCATTAACGCACATCCGATCGCAAAATCAGATGCGTCACACACTCCGTGAAAGGAACGATCTTGGTCAGTCACAGTCAAGATCGGTGCTTCGGTCAAGCCCAACTTGACTGCATCGAACGCCTGCTGACACTCAGCAGTCCATTCCCACGCAGCGTCCTTCTTCAGAAGGTGTGATAGCGGGCGAATCTTGCCTGCGTAGTTGCCCACGTACTTGCCCAAGTACGTGGCAAGGCCAAGAAACTGCCGCAGTTCCTTCACGTTGGATGGCGTAGACCATTCATTGATCACTCTGACCTCTCCAGGGCGTACGCCATACTTCCCAACGAGACACCCTAGCACGGGTATCTCGCTCGCACCGAAGATGAACTTCTTCAGGTTCGCATAGAGCTTGTGCCTGCGCATGAGCCCAAACAGTTCCCGAAGATGCTCCTTGTGCATCTCGATGTCCGTCTTATCGTTCACAACCCGGCAGTGAACGTATACATCGTCGAAGTAGCTCGGGGCGATGTCGCGCACCGAACGCAATAGATGCGTCACGCATCTATTGAAGGTCGCAGGGGCGTTCTTCAGTCCTTGCGGCATAACTAGCCACTCCCAAAGCTTACCGCTTGGAGTGCTTACCGCCATGAGAGGGATATCGCTCTAACGCATCAGGATCTGATAGAACCCGTCTCTCAGATCAAGCGCACTGTAGATGGTGCTCTTGGACATCGAATCGATGATAACATCTTTTCGAGGTATCGGCGTCTGTGCCGGTATCGTCGCATCGTTCTGCTTATTGTACGCGTGAACGACGCGCCAACCACTCTGTAGCTTCTTGACACATAACGTTGGTGCGCTGTGCGGGGACTTTGATTCCCGCACTTGTCCGGCCTTGCGACGACTTTCGAAGAAGTCGTCGATCGCCTTCACTTGCTCCTGCGGCAATCGTCACTGCAGCGTCACGCAATACTTCATCCCGGCACGAGATCAATCTCGTGCTGCCCTGCGGAAGCTCCGCAGGGATCTCGTCCGGGAGCACATCTCTGTGCTCTCGCAGAATCTCGTAAAATTAATACTTCAGTGAGTCCTAACTCTGCTCCTCGAAGCGTTCCTTCGTCGTCTTGGCACTAAGAGTATCTTCTCTCTCAGTGGCGCTTCCAGCGAGGAGTTGTCTCAACTCCTCTGCTTCGCTTGTCATTCTTTCGCGGTCCGAAAGAATGCATAGCTGTTTGATGCATCCATCGTACAGGCCCATTGCGAAGCGCTTCCAGCTCATGACTGCAAGCGAGGTCAAGTCCGACGTATCAGTCGGAGGGCTCTCCAACTCCATCTTCTTGTACTGGTACCCAGCACAGGCTCGCG